AGCCTGTGCTGAGGAGAAGCTCACTGAGCTGCCTCTGCCCCTTTTTGACCACTGTAAAAAACCATGCCAAAACAAAAAAAGGCAACAGACCTTGCCGTGTTGTTTACATTTTGATTCAACTTCAAAACTGGATTACTACCGGAACATATTCACACAAAAGAGTTGCCAACCTTTTCTAAGTGTCATCATTCTGTACTGTTGCTCTCAGCCACGTAACTGCATGGTAAGCAGTGCCCTGCTCACAACACTGCTTTGGTATTTAGAGGTGATGATTGTCAGTCTTAGTAGTGACACCACTTCCACATCTCTGTCCTTACAGAACAACATCAAAGTCTGTGCAGAAGATCCATGTTCTTAATCCCAAGCATATCATAAAAGAGTCAGCATGCATCTCTCAACCTTGTTCTTCTAGGCTTCATGAGGCTTTAGATGACTTGGAAGAAAATAGGAACAGGAGCAAATTATGGGGAAAGTGTTTTGGATGAGAAAATAGGAAACCGATCAGAAAAAATAACCAAAGAAAGAGAAGGCAAGAACTGAGGAAACAGAGAATCTCTGTGACAGAGAGGACTGCTGTAGCACTATTTTGCTCTCAAGCTCAAAGGTAAATAAAATACCCCCAAATTCTACAGAGTTAAGTAGCTAAAAAAAAAATAATTAGTTTTTCAAGCTTTCAGTGACAGAGTTAAGCAGGACAGACTATTTACTAAAGATAGTATCAACAGACACGTCAGGCACTCAGCCTATAAACAGATAAAACAGGAAAAAAAGCTGCTTGATGCCATGAGACCGTTCTGGTACCTGTTCAGCAATGGTGCACACAATCTACAAAGAAGTAACTTGTAGCTAGCAGCCAAGATTAGAAAGAAATAAATATGGGTAAAGCAAATAAACTGAAGTCACTGCAGTCTTATTGAGGCCTTGTTATAAACGCAGAAATTACCAAACAGTTCCTCTTTAGCCTCGGCCACAATCATTTAGCCAAGACTTCCCCAGAAATGTCCTACAGTGAACTTTAGAATCCATCCAGCTAAGCTTTAAAAAGGCATCAATTCCAGCATAAAACATTCAGCCTCAAACAGCTGGGTTTGACGATACCTACATACTGTTGAAAAATTAAGCCTTTCACCACAAGAACGAGCCGATGCAATTTTATGGCTGTGTTAGTCAAGATGAGGAGATGATGAGGATGGTACCATGTTTTCACAAAACATTTTAAAAAACCCAAGAGGTATATTGAGTATGTCGAAAATATATATGGAAGGAATGGGAAGTAAGTCCTTGGAGAGTATAAGTCACTTGTTGGAGCAAGCCCAGAGGAGGCCACGAAGTTGCTCAAAGCACTGGAGCATCTCCCTGTGAGGACAGGCTGAGGGAGTTGGGGTGTTCAG